GGAGGAAGAGGAGGAGGCCAGGAGGAGAGGAGGGAGGAGGGCGGGTGCTGAGCTGCAGAGGCTGGTCCCAGCCTGTGGCCCTCCTGCCCTCCGCTCCCCACCCCCTCCGGGCACCAACTCAGACCCTGGCTTCATTTCCAGAGACTCCTGACAGTTCCCATTTAATTACTTCATAAAAAACTGGGAAAGTAGAAGAGGAAGAGTTAAATGTTCTCCCTAAAAGGAGGAAACGGCGGCTAATGCCAATTAGGAGGAAGTCCCAGGCTATTGCAACGCTGCAATCCAATTACATCAGGTAAAATGAATTACTCCTCTAATGCTGACTTATTATGAAGACACCTTCTTATTGCTCTCATTAATAATCTTTAGACATCATTTTAGCGCATATTGGCTGCAATAACATTTCTATTAGCATCATGGTGGAGCAGGGCTGACAATTAAAATAAAAAATAAATCAACCCAAGGAGCGAACAAACGTAATTATAGTTCAGAAAGAGCTTTTATGTGTATTTGATTAGTCAACGGAACAGCCTGCCTTCCTGCCTCGGGTGTGGGTTACCGAGTCCCCGTGAGCTCCTGGAGCCGGGAGAGGATGAGGGGCGTGTGTGAGCGAGGGGGGGAGGGTCCAGGAAGCCTGTCAATCAGGTAGTGGTTCAAGCCCCAGGCCCTGGCTTGCTCTGTGTCCCCGTGTGAGCCTCATCCCCGTTTAGGACTCAGTTTGCCCATTTGTGAAATTGGAATATTTGAAATCGCATAACATATGGATTAGAGGTCCCATCGTCTAGGGCTGTAGGGATTTCCCCATTCCAGAGATGGATGAGCCCCACATGTGGACCCTGAGTGGCAGGAGCCCTAAAGGGGGAAAAGAGTGGCTGCTATGTGCTGGCCTGGGGCCCTTTGGGGCCCTCTGGGGGCAGAGGCTGCACACCCAATGGCTTCCATGATCACAGCTTGGGGCGGGTGGCGCTCCTGGGCAAACGGCCACGTGGCTGCCCATCCTCCACTGGACAGGAGCCCCCACCTCAAGGAATTGCCCACCCCCATGGGTCAACAGGGCTCAGACTGAAGAGTCCATTAAACCCCTCCTCAGACTGTGTACCCTTGTGCACCTGAGATCAGACTTCCGGGGCTAGAATCGGGCTTGACACCCAGCCAGCCCCACCAGCCTCCCGGATGAGATGAGCTCCTTCATCAAATTCAAGTGGAAATGCAGCCGAGGGTTGGGTTTTGACTTACGTGCAGTAACTCTTCAGTTCTCAGGTAATCGTGTGTACACACACATAGATATTCTCATTAAAAACCCACATGACGGTATGACACGACGTGATGGTCAGTCAGGTCTGCATCACTGTGGCCAAGACACCACCCAGAACAACTAAGAAGGGAAAGTTAGTTTGGCTCATGGTTCCAGAAGTTGCATCTCTCTGGGCCCAGGGTGCGGCAGGACATCAAGGGGGAGGGGCCGCTCCCTTCATGGAGGGTGAGGGAAGGGGCTGCGGGGATGGTGCGCCCTCCCGGTGACCCACCTCCTCCAGCCACGCCCCAGGTCTTGAGGTGACCACGGTTACCACGGTGACCACTTGAACTAGGACTGATTAGACCACAGGTGTCACAGCACTGTCACCTCGCCTCTGAACATGCTGCGTCAACACAGAGGCCTTGGGAGGACACCCCATATCCAAACCATAGCCACGACGTGACAGAATGCACAACGCTTTGTCAGCACTTTGTCACTGTGACCAAAACACCTGAGAGATCAACGCAGAAGGTGAAATGTTTGCTTTGACTCTAGGTTTCAGAGGTCTCGGTCCAGATCTACGGCCTCTCTGCTCCGGGCCTCAGGTGAGGCAGGACGCCTTGGCGGAGAGTGTCCTGGAGGAGACTGCCCGGCTCACGGCAGCCAGGAAGCAGAGAGCGAGTGACGAGGGAGGAGCCAGGGACAAGCTCCCCACAGGTGTGTGCCCAGGACCCACTCCCTCCAGCCACCAAGAGTCCATCCACATATTAACCCAGCAGCCCGAGGTCTGGCCCCAGAGGGAAAGAGCAGCCCGAGGAGACGGTGAGGATGGTGAGGGAGGTGAGGAAGGTGAGGCAGGTGAGGGAGGTGAGGGAGGTGAGGCAGGTGAGGGAGGTGAGG